GTTGGAGGTGGGCTGGCCAGAAGGGGGCGTGGTCCTGCCTGTCTCTACCGCTGCACGCTCAGCACGTTTATTCGCACTTAATTCGCACTTTTTGACACCTTTGTGACCGAACGAGACCCCCTTTGCCCCCGAAATAACCGAAGTCCGTAAAGTAAATATACAAACTCCGCCGCTGTGCCCCGCTTCACATGTCAGCGGCATAATGTGCAGAGGATGGCGCGAAAAATTATGCAAAATAAATTAATTACCAATTAGGGGTGGGGATGATGCAGCACAGCTGTTGTCCCTGGACTCCAGCCCTCTGACCCCCGCGATTTCCCCCATTTTGGGGGGTTGCAATCCCGCTGCCGCTGCTGCGTTTGTCACATGAGCCCCGCCACTAATTAGTGTCATTAAAAGCGCTCCACGCGAGAGGAGAACCCTTGAGCGAAGGGCCAACCCCTTTCGGCCAAGTGAACGCAAAACGTGACACAAAATTGCAGCGGCCAAATAAATAAACCATAAACATAACCGACCGCAGAAGGAAATCAACTTAATTCCAAGAGGATCGTTCTCTTGGCCGGGCCAAGTGGCGGGGAAGAAGGCCAAAACAGGGGGGTTGTGGCCTGGCCAGTAAGCAAGTAACTTCCGTTAACTTGCGTGCAAACCCGTAATTTCCAGGGGCGGGCGACCCCCTTGCCTTGTCCCTCGGATTGGGGTTAAAAAGGGTTTAAGTTGCCACTAACTTGGGTCACATGCATATGCATAATTATAGAGCACCTCGTCCGGAACGGAACGAACCCCTCCCTTTGCCTCCCCCCGCCACCGCCCTGCTCCGCTTAGCAAACTAAACTGTGAAAACGCCAGAGGGGCTTTTATAAAGAGGCCCGGGTATTATGGCACTGACCGGAATACGATGGTACGCCCTACCCCTGCCCATTCCCCTTTCCCCTTCCCCGAACCGCCCACCTGGCTGGTGAGATTTGAATATTGATTGGCTTTAATGAGTGTCGTTGGTCGCGCAATTAGTTCGGCAGGGGGTTTCGTGGGGCCGAGGGAAGCGGAAATGTGGGGTGCTCAGGGTGGTTCCGCAGGCGGAGGAACTCTCTAATTCTCTGTATCTCATCTAGACTTGTCTCTAATAATATGTTAGGCCTTTCTTGTCATTCAAGTACACTTAAAGATTTTGTTCTTTATTAAATATCACATATGATTACTTTTATATGATGGATACAAAAACCATTCTAGTTCTTTGGAGCTGTTGTGATCACTTAAGTTAAAGTCCTTTCATAGCACGCATCAACAGCACAGAAAGAATATTTGGCAAAAATTAAAAGCTGCAGCCTTACTAGCTCGAATTCCGTTATAATTCCTAATGAAACTTACAGGGGTTTTGTATATATATACACAGTGAAAATTCTAACGTTCTCATCTGAGTTGAAAATGTTCTTAAAAATAGAACGACATTTTTGAATTGAAAATGTTTTTATTTTGAAGTTGAATTGGCGGAGTTTGCATAGTATATCTCAACAAATAAACTATTAGTCCAGTCAGTAGTGTATATTAATCAAAAAGTTGTTAAATAAACTCAATTTAACTTTTCTCTTCTCACCATTTCGTTCTAATAATGAGAACATTGATACCAAAATTTACTTTCACAATGTTCTTGGATATTTCTCTCTGTGTAGATTTCTTGGCAGTGGCGGATCCAATATTTGGTTGTGGGGTGGATATAAAAAAATATTCGTTGAGTAGAAATCAAAAATTTGGAATAAAATACATAATACATATACTTTTTAAGCCGAGTGAGGGAACCTACCTCCTATATCCCTCCCGTGGATCCGGGCATGTTCCTTGGTATAACCTTGGCTCTTGGTGTACAGGACCGCTCTCCATCACAAAATCCCCGACTTCGTGCGCTTAAGGACTTTGGCTAAGCACTGGCCGGCGCTAGATTTAAAGTCCTCGATCGCCGGGCGCGCTCTAACTAAACTAATTACATATCAGTCAGTCAGTCAGTGGGTGAGTCAATCAATCAATCAAGCTGCCAGCAGCAGAGAGATCATTTGCCAGGGGCCTATCTCCGCATCGGGCCAAAATTGGATGCAAATTGAAAAGCATTTTGTGGGAATGTAATGCATAAATTAATTGAGCGGGCTCACACAGAGAGAAAAAGCGGGGACCGGGGCCGGCGAAACTATGAATCTGCAATGAGTGAATGTGGCGGGAAGAGGCGGCCGCCTGATAAAGCATTCATGCAGCCACGCCCACCACTAGTGGCAATGCAATTGAAAATGAAAATCTAATATGGACGCGAGTTTCCGCGCGGCGTTTAGCATTCGATTGCATTTGTCTAAACTAAATAACAATGCAGTCTGTGCGGGCGGAGGGGGCGTGGTGGCGTTGCATGTTGCAGCTGCCAAAATTGAGTTTTGATGCGCTGCATCCTCCATCTCCAGGCCTTCAGTCCCCCAGTCCCCCAGTCCCCCAGTCCTCCAGTTCAACAGTGCTCCAGTCCAGCAGTCCGGTTATTGTTTGAAACGTCGCGTTAAATTTACATAAATTGATTTGATTGAATTTTTATGAGTCGGCGGTGCAGTCCAGGCCCAGTTGTCCAGTTGTCCAGTCCAGCCACCCACTCTGGTATTCTGGAGCTCTTCGATGGCCGGCGGGCATCAACTGCTGATGACTTTTCGACCCCTTCGGCGGGCAGGGGGGATGGTGGGCAACCGTCTAATTAAAGTCATTTCCAGCAGCTGCATAACCCCTCTACTGGCTCTTTGGGCCGTGGTCAAGTCGAGGTCACAGTTGGCGCTACATGGCGCAGGGCTTAATGCGAGCCATTTGGCCCGGACCCGGTCGTGGGCAACGGACAACGGACAACGGACAGCGGACAGCGGACAGCGGACACGGACGAGGGCAATCAGCGAAAAGAGGGGCGGCCAAAAGCAGAACCAGACACAGCACACATTGTGCCCACCTTCTGCAAGGGGCAGTGAACGATGCACAGAGAGAAAAAACATGATCTGCGGTTCAACCAAAATCTCTGCCTTCCCAGAGCACATACAAAATCTACTATCATATACAAAATTCCTTAAATTCAAAGGTATTTTTTCATGTTTTTAAACGAAAATACAATAATATTTGTCTCTTTTTCTGTTCTTAAATGTATTATATAAAGTTATATGATCTTAACTTGCATTTAGTTTAACCGGAAAACGTGCAAACGTACCCAAGGTTTTAAAAATCTGTTCAAAGATATAAAGATGTAATACCCTTAATCATACCAATATTCATAGAAATATACTGTAGAATTTCGTTAGCTACATTTGGTTATTGAACAATGTGCTCAAGTGTGTGGTTTTCTTCCAGTGTATCGAGTGCAACATTGCCGAGGCATTGCATATTTTTAGGGTTTCCCCGGTGCTTGCTGAAATTTGCACATTGCAACAAACTATTTAGCAATGGCAAAGGTTTGGGGGGCGCCAATTTGTCATAAATCTCGTTATTTTAAATCGTCGCTTGGCATTCCGCGAAATTGTGTGTGGGTAAATGGGCCCTTTGTTTGTATTGATTTGTTGTTGGCTGTTTGCTTTGTGGGTTTCTCTTAACGGTAACTTTATCGTTGGAAAACAGTCAGAGTTATTATTTTGGGGTCTATAGAGACTATTTTAGCCGGAGGGAAAAAAGAAACATATGCTTCATCTCAAAGTCCTTATGACTTATTATATAAAAGGGTTATAGAAAGGCAGCTCAAAACTGTTATATTCATTAAAAATGTGAAGTAATGGTAGGGAGAGAAGGTTAATCAAAGGGAGACGATCGGTAACCTTGTGTTGGGTAGTTGGCAGCGGCCCTTTCAATCAGGCTCGTTGGTCTAGAGGTATGATTCTCGCTTCGGGTGCGAGAGGTCCCGGGTTCAATTCCCGGACGAGCCCAAGTGGATATTAATTTCTTTTTTTTTGCAAATAAGATTAAATGTTTTATTGACGGAAATTTGCATAGCTGATGAATGTTTAATGTTTTGAAAAGTTTTCCAAACCGACTTTCAAAGTCAACTTTACTTGTAAGCCCAAAAGTATGCCTCATTTCGCAATATTTTTGCACAGCTGTCAAGTGCCGTTACTTTTCGCTTAACGATGACACTTGAAAGATCAGACTAATAACAGAAGTACCAAAATAAGTGTGTTTATGCAAAAGTAATATCATATCATATCATACGATGTTTTCGTTTACTTTTGGTCGCATAAATATTATTGGGCTGTATAAAAAAATTCATGTGTATATATTATTAGAATGTGTGTAAATTGTCAGTTTATTCTAAATTGATTTGTTTTATTTATATCAATTGGGCGGAAATTTATACAATTTTTGACCAAGCGCAGTAGGCCTTTTAAAATAAAAAATGTCAAATAACTCTCATTTACGGAGCCGGGACTTTAAAGTCAATTTTATATGTATATAAGTTTGAAAATACATTTTATTTGAATTCTTGAGGTAAAAGCCAGACAGTTTTGCATTCTTTTCTTTCATATTTTCTTAGTTTAAGTCTTGCTAAGATATTACAAAGTGTACCTTTTTGGGGAAAAGCTGTTCAAATCCGATTGAAAGTGTGCCAAATATTATCGACTTTCGCTGCTTGCTCGGCATTTCTCAACACTGGTCGTGAAGACGCGCGATCGCTTCGATCACTTGTTGCCGGATAAGTTCTTGGAAAATTAAGAAAACCACGAAATGGAGTCCCTTTACAACGCCAGTGTGCATTGCGAAGATGAAGAGCGCATTAATTTCTACAACTTGGACAAGTTCTTTGTGCCCCATGTGCAGGCCGAGGAGCTGGAGAAGCAGGCCATCCTACGGCAGCCCGCCTGGCAGGAGCGCTATCATTGGGTCCTATCCCCGGTCTCCGACCATTCGGAGGATATCAGTAGCATTAATGTATACAATAATACCCTTAAACTTAGATCGCCCCACTGCAGAGAACCCCCCAATAATGCGTCAATCTCCTCCCGTTTTTGCAGATGATGACTATGGACATTACCAAAACCGAACCCGGACTCGTCGGGCTTTCCTCCAACCAGCAGCAGCAGCAGCAGCAGTCCCAGCAATCCAACACCGGCATGAACAGCGGTGGCCAGAACAACGGGCCCAATCCCAATGGCAACGGGAATGTGGTCAATGTGGTCAACTCCGGCGGAGCCGGTGGCGGCAACAATGGCAACGGGAATGTCCAGAGCATCGCCGCTGCGGCCAACAACAATAACAATAACAACAACAACGGTAGCCAATTGTGCGCAGGATGCGGCAAGCACATCCAGGACCGCTACCTACTCCGCGCCCTGGACATGCTGTGGCACGAGGACTGCCTCAAGTGCGGCTGCTGCGACTGCCGCCTGGGCGAAGTGGGCTCCACGCTGTACACCAAGGGCAACCTGATGCTCTGCAAGCGGGACTACTTGAGGTGAGTGTAGTTGACTTAGCCGTACATATGTTACCTATCCATAAGATAGGATAGTGTGGTAGCAATGGTTAGAATGTTATTTGAAAGTATTACAGCATAGTTCATATATATAAGATCCGAGTACTGTCAAAAGGGGGAACTAACTTAAAGAGACTTAGAAAACAAAGATTATGCACTAGACGATCTAATTACTTATCAATTCCTAAAAGCCAACGCTTATATTATATCATAACATACCGAATATCACCCTGAACCAGCTCGATAGAACTCTATGATGCTTTCAATGTAACATTTTAAGATTAATGTAAAGAGTACCTAGTTTTATAGAAGGAAATTCGAGTTGTTTGTCTTATAACAGAAATTTGAATGCTTCCCTAAATACTTATTTTAAAACTAACATTCCCATTCTTCTTCCGCAGATTGTTTGGCAACACGGGCTACTGCGCCGCCTGCAGCAAGGTGATCCCAGCCTTCGAGATGGTGATGCGCGCCCGCACCAATGTCTACCACCTGGAGTGCTTCGCCTGTCAGCAGTGCAACCACAGGTGAGCATCGAACCCCACTGCCCCATTGCCCATTGCCATCATCCGATCGTCCATCATGTGGGAGCGACTAATACCCGGCCAGCAAACGTTTTCGCATGCATTTTTATGGGCAATTTGCACACAGATTCGCATTGGAGGTGGCTGCATAAATCCTTTTTTAATCTTTGGCCCATCGTGGCGGGCCCAAAGTGGCACTTGAAGTTTTATTAACGTGCTGGCAGGCAGCAAATTGCCGTCGTTTACAAGCTAACAGCAAAACAAATGGGGTGGGAAACCCCTTTAGTGTCATACGTTTTCTATGAAAACCGCATAAATTTCGCATTGAACCGAACCCTTTTGGGTGCCATCAAGTCATCGCCCAGCAAAGTTTTCCACGGCCTCAAATATTTTATTGGACTTGGCCAATCCCTGAAATGTCACTCTGGAGAGCTTTAAACTGCAGCCCGGCCGGTGGATGGGGCTGCGTCTCATTCTTCCCTTTGGTCAGCCATTCCGCCTCGTTTCGTTTGGTTTGGTTTGGTTTCGTTTTCGTTTCGGGTTTCTGCATTATTAATGAGGGCGCACATATGCCTCCGTGGCTCCCAGTCCACGCAAACCTCCGGCATAGTCGTCGATTGTGCAGCAAGGGAGCGAACATTAAATATTAAAAATGCCGCCACACGGTGCTGACTGGTAAAAAATATTGAAATAAATGTTAAAACATATTGGCATATTGTGAGAATCGTCTCCACCCGTTGGGCCACCGCTCCTTATCCGGATCTCCCTGCCTTTGCTGGGCCTTTGTTTTCGCATTGCCTTTAAAAATGTAACAGGAGCGTCGAACTCAGAGGCCTCCTACGTGGCCCCCTCCTGGCTGAGACACCATTATGGTTAATTTTCCTCAACCCATTTGACATTATGATTGCGCAGTTCAAAGTTCCACGATCAATTATATAAGATTGCCGGCTATTAAGGGCTGCTATATGGCTGGTAGGTCGGTCATAGGTTGTTAACTCTTGTATAGGAAGCTTAAGATTGTGGTTGAAGGTTGGTATAATGACAGGACCCCTGGAAATACAACGGTTTGTGAACTCTTTCCCGCAGTTATTGATAGAAAAAACAGGACACATTCCCCCCTCCTGCTGCTAATGAATTTTTCACGTAAATTAATTCAATTGCCGAAAAAATCCATTGAGGCGTGGCCGCATGGCCAGCGGCTGCTCCTCTCCTTTCTCCGCATTGTTGGTCGGATGGCCATGGCCACATTTAAAATGCGGGCTTTCATTTGGCCAACAAAAAGAGTTTTCCCGTTGAGTCCTGTTCCTGTTGCTGCTGTTTGGGAAATGTTGCAAAATGCATTGCAGTCGCCGTTTGCGTTTGCCGACTGTGAGGTTTGCATAATTTCCTGTCGTCAGCAGCGAACGACGACATCCTTGCTCTCCGATTGGAGTCCAATCCAAGTCAAATCTTTCGTCCAGGCCATTTTTGTTTTATTCCTTTTCACATTTTACCCACTTTTTTTTTGTGTTTTCCCTTTTCGGTACTTCCTGTTGACAATTTGCTGTTGGTTTCTTCTGTGCGATGGGGGAGGAGCAGACGAAATGCCCGGATGTGCGAATCCCGCACAGAGGCACTCACTTATCAACATGTCCGTGTCCATTTCCATCGCCATCGCCATCGCCATGTCACAGGTGCGCTCAATGCCAGGCCAGCGGCAAAAGAAGCAAAAGTTTCTCTTTGTTGACTCTTTTCAACCGATTTTTGTTGCCTTGTTTTGGTAGATAAACAAAGCGATTTTTTCCCGCTCCGCCCACGCCTTCTGTGCCACCTGCCACGCCCACCCGTCCGTCAATCGATTTGGCCACGCAACCGAAACCAGCGGGCCAACAAAATGTTGACGTAAATCAAAAGCCAAATTTCATATCCGCTGTAAGTCTGCTGTAAGCTGATTTACCCAGCCTCCTCCGGAATGGATGCAGTGTTCCCGCCCCCTGGGAATCAAACTTTAAACGTTTCTTTTTTGCCCTCATTGGAGGGGGAGCAGCAGCCAAGGAGAGAGTATTGCAGCAGGATGTGCATATTGGAGAAAAGATATAAGTTCTGGGACTTGATAGGATATGCTATGCTCAAGGGAATGGTGTTCTTCCATCTCGAGAAGGTGACTGAATTTACAAGTTCCTTGGGATAAGTCTATATGGAGTTCAACAAGTATAGAGGATTACTTGTTCTACCTCTAAGGAACTTTAACTCATCATAGGTCTCCTCATTTTCCAAGTTATACCGACACCTTTGCCCGCTCATTTCGATTACAGATCCCCCTTTTCAAAGGACATCCACTCGTCTGCTTGACGAGGCTCTATTTCGCCTCCAGAGCTTCCTATGCTTTTTCAGCTTTTTTGTCGTTTGTAATGCGAGCTCCCTTTCGGTTCGGTTCGAGTGTGTCTGTTTGCTGTTTGCCGGAGTGGGCGTGGCGGCAGCCTCTGCCATCCGTACAGGTGCTAACATAAATATTTTGACAAAGGGCTCCATGCCCGGAGAGCTGTGTAGCTGGGAGCCAACCTTATTTGCAGTTGCCTGAATGCACTCCGACTCCCCATCCCCCGGTCCGGGCGAAACGAAGCCACCTTGCGGCTCCTGCCACACCAACTGTTGCTGACAGCGGAGCGACATTGCCAAGCGCTTATCTGACTTCCTTGTCCTGGCTTGCTCTCGTCCTGTCTGCCACTCTGAGTAGCTGTCCTTCGTCTTTGGGTCGTTTTGCTTTTGTTTTTAGTCGTTCCCGGGTTCCTGGGTTCCTGGGTTCCTGGGTTGGCAGTTACAGTCGCTATAACCGCTGTCAATTGTCATCGTTCATCGTCCTTGTCTTTGTGCAATCTCCCCGACTGCTTGGGCTGCCTAAGCGTGTGGAAAAATCGTTTCCACTTCCTCTACGACTTGCCATTCCGTACTAACCACTGCCGTTTTCCGGTCTCTTTTTCTTTTTCTGCCAGATTCTGCGTGGGCGACCGCTTCTACCTGTGCGAGAACAAGATACTCTGCGAGTACGACTACGAGGAGCGCCTGGTCTTCGCCTCGATGGCCAATCATCCGATGCTGAAGCGCCATGTGTCCTCCTTGGGCCAGGGATCTCCGACCGGAGCGGCCGGGGCGCAGAACACCGCTGGCGGACTGCTGGGCGGCGGACCCGGGGGCGGCAATGTGAACGGCGTTGGCGTGGGCATGGTCAACGGACCGCGCACTCCTGGCGATCACAACAACAACAACAATGGCCCCCAAACGCCAACCGGCGGTGGCTCACCGTTTGCCGCAGCCGCTGCTGCCGCCGCCGCCGCTGCCCATATGAAGAATCAACTGGGAGCGTCCAGCTAAAATAAAGCCCTGGGCATGGGCGCCACAGGGGCTGTTTTGGCGGGATCTGGAGTCGGCGCTGGAGCTGGAGTTGGAGCGACGAGTCAGCAATTCTACTCGGGCTTTGGACTGCAGCACCAGCACCAGCCACAGCAACACCAACAACAGCAGCAGCAGCAGCAGCTCATGGGACTGGGCCTGGGGATGGGCGGCGGTGGAGGAGCAGGATCCGCCGGCGGAGCAGGAGGCGGAGGCGGAGGCGTTGGCAGCATCGGGAGCGGGTGCAAGCGCTACCAAAGAAAGTTCTACAACCGCAACTGAGGGAGTCGACGGGGGAGAAAACGCTAGGGGAAAGGATACAGAATCCCGAATCGATATTCAAATCTTCGTTTGCTTTGACTGAGTTCAAGTTTTATAGTTTTAAAGGCTTATAGTTTAGTTAGCCTACACAAAAGTACTTGCTGAATTTGCAGACATTTTTGGATCCTATCATTTAAGAGACAATATGTTTACTTAGTTCTATTCGAGAATAACCCCCTTTGTTCATAAACAAGGTTTTTTTTTTTTGTTTCCACTGAAACCTGTACATATTTTCCTTGTAAACTGTTGACTTTTTAGCGCGATCCTTTTTTTTTATATACACAACCTTATAGATATATTCGTATTTATCTATGTATATGCATAAATAATTTTATTTTCACGCTCGAAGCGTGCGGTGCCAAAACAAATTCAAAGCAGTGCCAAAAAGTTTAAAAATAAACGAAGGATAAAAATGAAGAAAGTGAGGAGAAATGCAGGCGGCTGGAGGAAAATCGGATTTGTGGAACTATGAAATCGAGAGAGTTAAACATCCCCACCGATCATTATTCGATTTTCCATATGTCCCTCGAGTCCGAAGGAGCCGCAGGAGAATGGAGGATGATTAGACGGTGTTGGAGGGCAATTGGCAAAGTGAACTTTGATGTGTAAATATTGAAACATTCTGCACACGACTTAAGCACACACGATTTTTGTTCTGATTCCATTTTAAGTCTGTTGGAGCAACGTTGTTGATTATTATTTAAGTTTAGTTTAGTGCGAGGCTAAAGAATGTTCTTTCCACGGCGAACGTTGTATAGAAGTGGCTGGGTGGAGGCCGATCCACGATGGTCCAGCGTTAGATGTAAAGAGCCTAAGCTAGGTCGATGTAAAGTTAAGGATTTGTGTGTGTATCTATAACCAAGCGAACTAGTTACAATATGGGTGTATTTATTAATCCTTTTTTTTGCAATCTAATGTAACACTAATCAATATGCGTAATTAGCGTTCGATCGGAGCTAGCAAATATACTAAGTACGGGAGAAACCAAAGTGTGTGTATAAGCATCAGTCTATCTACGAGCGATAAACAATACTACCTATCTATCGAATTACCGAAACTATGTTAAATATCGTAATAATCTAATAATCAGACCTAAGTAAGAGCGATTACCCAATATTTTTTTTGTATCGTATTGTTAGAGAGCAGGCATAAAGTTAAATCAAAAATATCTAAAGTGTAAGATAAACCCGCTTAGACTTATATATACGTGCATATACATAAATACACGCCCCATACTCCATGTGTTTTGGACAGCAACCAATAATAACAGCCAGAACAAATGCGAATGCAAATAAAAGAAATCAAAACTAAAGAGAAAAGAGAGTAAAAAGCGTAAAAAATAAAACAAAGCAAGAGCAAAAACAAAAGGAAACAATAAATGTAATTAACAAACATTTGAAAAAATTAACCCGCAGTTGTTGGCATTCATTTCGTCGAGGGGCAGGGGAATAAACGTGCTACATGGGGTATATGGTATGGTATGGGGGGTATGGGCCCTTGGTTTTGGCCTCCCCGTCTGCCGATTGCAGTTTGTCGCTTGACATTTGTTGACTCTTTCGCTTTGACGGCCATTAATCACGGCATTGTTGTTGCCAATTTCAAATCCACAGCCCAGACAGCCAATCCGCACCAGAACGGAATGGAAGGCTGATAAATGATGCCTCATATTTTCGAGCCTCGGGCACCGCTCCGCTCCGCAATTGAAATAATAAAACCGAAACCAAAAGCCATCCAGCCATCCAGCCACCCCCTGAGCCATTGATTAATGAAACTTTAAAAGGGAACACGCGTCTTTTGTCTGCGACGACCGCAAAACTTTGCCATGGAGATAGCGCATCTTTTCAATATACGATGCAAAAGTTTTCCGTCTTATTGGATGCGGATTGGGATCCAAGATCCAAGGAGCCAGGACGACCACGACGACGACGCCGCCGCCGCAGGCCATAACAATAAAAGTCATTTATAGATTTCGATTTCGGGCACATGTGAGCGCTTGGGGGGATGGGATTCGGTTGCCCCGACTCCCCCTGGGGGCTCCACTATCCCATATATATGTATAACTTGGGCACTGCATAGTTTCAGGCTGCTTATCAGCACTTTTGTTCGCAGGACCAGGACTCGAGGGTGGGCCCAGGGTGGGTTTTCCTTTGTCTTTGCCCGGGTCCTCGGCTGGTGTCATAATCACTATCAGTGCTTATGAAAATGTCTTTTGTCCCAAAATGCTTATCAGCACGGCCTGCCCATTTCCTTGTCGTCGCCATAAGAATCTATAAAAATAATGTTTCAATTCGGCATGGTCTTCTTTTCGTGCCTCGAATGGGGGCGGGGCAAAGTGCCCCTGTCAATCATTCGGGGTGAGAGGAATGTGTCCTAAAATTATGATAAGCCAAGAGAAATCGCTGGCATTGCGGAATGACGGCAGGCATTTAAATTCGCCTGACAAAGCCACCACCGCTCCTCGGACGATTAATTAAACGAGTTTGCGCCAAACTCTTTTCATGTTTTAATTACGCAAATACTCGGCATAATTTACCGGGGAGATGCTATGGCGACAAGTGAAGAGCGAAAAATATGCATAAGAAACAATTTGTCTAAGCTGCGGTGCCCTTGTGCCCTGCCCCTCGGATCCGCATCCAGTTCCCGAATCCCCGAATCCCCGAATCCCCCATTGTAATGCGACAACTCTCGACGCCAACCTTGTGTCAACTTCAAAGTGGAAATTCCGGAATTCACCTTGTTTGCATATTCCTCTCCTGATCCAGTTTCCGATTATGTTTCTGTTACCAACTCCTTCCCATCGCATATCTTCCAGGGCTCGGATTGCTTTGTGCAAATTAGTTCGGCGGCATGACCGATTCATCAAGGACTTCACTCAAAAGGAGCTGAGGGGCATCTTAGGGAGTCCAAATAGTTTAATGCACTGTCCGTGGATTTTGAAGGGTTTACTTAGTTTGGAATTTGCAAAAGAATGTGTACTACAATCCATAATATTTTTGCAACAAACAGTAAGATCATGATAACTTATGTGCCTTAAAACCAAAAAAAAAGGGAATTAATTCTAAAACTTTTTTTAGGAATAAAATTTTGATCAACAAAATTGTTGTGCAGCTTAATTAAATAATTAAATTATTGCTTCACCGTTTTTGAAAGTACACCGAAAAAAAAAATCATCAAAAGCATCAAAAAGCATTACATTAATTCTAAACTATTGAGTACCGTTTTGGCGCCGATATTAAATTGGTTCTTTTCAAAGTATATAATTAATATTGATTGTTTTAAAAATAATACCATAATTCCAAATTCTAGACTCCTTGATATGGAAATTAAACTAAAATAATAAATAATTGGCACAAAATGATTGCTTTCTGGTTTTTAAGCATAATCTCTTCTACTCTGGGGTACATGAAATATAAGGACAGCTCCAAACATGAACTTCATAGGCACAAGTAGAATCTACAAGTAAAGTTTTAACTTTCTTGCTTCCAAATAGTGTTCTATATAGGGTCGGAAATGTTTTCATTTGCCAGTTAAAAACTTTCCAATGAATACTTTTCGTTTACTCCACTAGCAAGGGGTATAAGAACTTTATTTGTACGGATTTAAAAAATTTTGAGGTTTTTCGGAACTATATGGCATTTTTAAAACATACTTGGAGAGGGGGCACGCTTTTCTTTATTTCAAGACTTCGGATTGGTGGAAGATATCTTTAATTTTTTTTTACTAATCGATGGACCATTATACTTGCTTAAAAGAAATTTTGAAAATGTAGTTTCCTTAAAATTTATTTTGTTCAGATTTGTCCAGATAAGGTCCAGAAAAAGGTCCAAACATTTTTCGGAGTACACATTTTTCAGGAATAGCAGGATAGAAGTTTCTATAAATAGCTTCCATATAAATTAATATAATATTTTAGAATAAAATAACAAAAACTGAATAGAAAAACAACAATGAAATCGATAAAGTAACAATTAATCGAAAAATTAAACAATTTATGGGTAGAGTACTACTTTTTTGGGAGTTATCTACATAAGGTTGGGACAGTCTTGTTACATTTGTGTGTAGGGCTGTGGCCATCACATTGAAATTTCTAATATTTGTCAAGTTGTAGAAAAATTTCGATTTACTACCTGGACTTGTTTTATAAAGTCATGATAACCTGTTAAAAAAATTCATAAACTGTTGTTGACCTTTTTTGTCTAGAAAAATAAAACAAAATCTTTTTTCTTTCTTTCTTTTACGATTCCTAAACTATGCTTTATAAAGGCTTGATACAATTTTGTCGTCCCCCCAGGCGTTTTTAAGATGCAGGTACTAGATGTGCAGGTCCCACAAGTGCACTTGAGGAATGACACAAACTGAGATTGGAATGGTGATGGGATAGTTTTCGCATTCCTCATTACAGTTGACAATGCACTCGGGGCATGCCATAAATATGCTATGTTCCCCTCCCCAACTGCGAGCCTGGGGCCAATCAAGAGACGGCAGGACCCCCAGTCCAGTGACCACCACCCCCGAGCAGCCGCTAGTAAGATGTCCTGACCCACATGTCAAGTGGATGCTGCCCCCGTGGCAGGGGGAGTGGGTGGAGTGGGCGTGGGAGTGGCCAAATGCCAAACCAGCGCCGTCGTCGTGTCCTTCGTCTTGAGGAGAGCGAAGGAGCAAAGGAGCAAAGGAGCAAAGGAGCGAAGAGAGCCGAGGAGTGGGAGACAGTGCGGAGCGAGCGAGAGAGATGCGTGTGAAATGGCAACGCCCACTTTCTGAGGCCCCACCACCCCACTGGCCCACAGCCACCCGAGCCACCCAAGCCACCCAAAACCACCCAAAACCACCCAAACCACCACCAGGAGCGAGGGCGCCAAGAAAAAAGCACTGTTAGTCGCTTACAGAGCTCTGTTAAGCGGCAGGAGGCGTCGCCTGCTAAACAGGACTCCCAACGAATCCTTTTCTCCTTGCTTTTTTGTTTGTGGCACAATCGAGTTTGCTATCTGATGCAGACAAACTACTGCTGCACTTGCCAGAAGGCGGGGTGGATTGCTGTTCCTCGCAGCTACCCCCGGTGCAGCTATTCGTCTTGCTCACTGTCACCCCCCAGAAACTCCACATCCATATGGTGCCCCCTGGTCTACGGCTACCCCTCGAAATGTTTATAACGTGTGGCTGTGTTCATGATTTAATTAAAAACTTTTGCTTGCATGCAGCAAAATGCACATTCGTCGAGAAAAGGGCAACTCGACGAGGCCGACAAAGGGTCGAACTCAGATTGTTTAATAGTGAGTTGCAGAACTCAAATTAGCCAGCTCCAGAGGAATTATAACTATTTACCACACAGCCTAAAATTATGCTGTAAATACCGAACAATTTTCAACAAATGCATAATGGTTTAATCGTATCGTTAGCAATGTTTCCTTTTTTTTACT